CACGACTTTCACAAACTGAAGCACGTTTCACAAATCATCGTATTTTCAATATTCGTTGCATGAAAAATCAAATTATCCCTAAATACCTTCGCATACGAATCCCAATATATACTGACAAAATCCAAAGGGCAATAGAACATGTCAGCAAACTATGTCTGAAAGAAGAAATTCACAGGATTATTAAGAAATTAAGTACCATTCGGAATAAAATTGAACAACTTAAATGTAAAATTATGAAGATAGTAAACTGCAGAGACTATGGATTTATAATAGAAACATCAGACAAAGCAAGATTAGCTACTCTCAAGAAATCTAGAAGAAATCAAATCAAAAAGTTCAATAAACTAATGCAAGAAAAATATGCTTCGGAAAACAATGAAATTACAAAGGAAACATCATCGAACATCGATAGAACAAAGTGGGTAGTCAATCTCTCCTCGAAAGCCTTAAGCTCAGCTGAGATGAAAGTACTTGAAAAAGGACTAAACTTCAACATAACAGTAGATCATCTAAAACCAGAAGATGTCATACCTAGCATAGAAGTAGCATTAAGCTCGGTGGATGTGACAACTGCTGAACAGGTTAGAGCGCAGTGTGCATTAGCACTTAAAAAACAAAAGAAGACACAGCGAAACTTAACGAAACTGGAAAATTCAGCTTTAAACAATCTACGAAAGGATAATAGTATAGTAATTGCTAAATCTGACAAAGGTAACTCAACAGTAGTTATGGACAAATCGGATTATCTTAAAAAAATGGATGAACATATCCAAACAGGGCCATATGAAGAGATTAAGAAACCTATAGATACTGTCATGAATAAAATTAAGAAATCTACAACAGATCTGATACGCCGACTGAAGCCATCTCTAGGTAAGTCCGAATGGTTTACTTTAATGCCAAAAACTAATAATCCTAGCAGAATTTACGGTACTATTAAGGTTCATAAAGCAGGTTATCCCATTAGGCCGATAGTTGACTTCCGGAACACACCAACATATGAGATATCAAAGTATTTAGCATCAGTATTACGTCCTGTTAGAGACCGTTCCAACTCTAGACTAGTAAATTCTTACGAGTTGAAACAAAAACTTAATGACCTGCACATAGAAGAGGATGAAAAAATGGTTAGTTTTGACGTAACAAGTCTTTATACTAAAATACCAATCAATATGGCACTGGAGGCAGTCAGAAATCAACTAGATACTGACTCACAACTTACTCAAAGAACCAAGGCATCGGTTGGTGAAATCATGTTAGGAGTGCAGTTATGCTTAACCTCGACAGTCTTCAAGTTTCAGGGAAAGATTTATAGACAAACAGAAGGAGTAGCAATGGGATCACCAATATCCCCTATAGTAGCAGATATATTTATGGATAGTTGGGAAGATATGGCTTTACGAACATATAATCCGACACCTAAGATATGGTGGCGATATGTAGATGACACATTTACAGTGTTGAAATCGGAACATATCGACAGTTTCTTGACACACATAAACTCAGTAGTTAACGCAATCCAATTCACCTACGAAGTAGAAAATGAACAAGGAGAATTACCTATGTTGGATTGCAGAATAAAACGAAGGATAGATGGTGGTTTAGATACTACCGTCTACAGAAAACCAACACATTCTAACAGGTATCTAGACTTCAAGTCATCTCATCCAGTGTCAGTTAAAGCGGGTTTAGTCAAATGTCTAAATAACAGAGCTGAGAAACTCACTAGTCATTGTAAGGACTTAAATAAGGAATTGAAACACATAAAAGAAGCGTTAATAACTAATAATTATCCCCATCATTTTATTAAGAAATTCACACGGACGCATAAGAAGCAAAATAATAACACTAATACAAATACAAATAATAGTGACAACATAAGTAGAAAGGAAATCAGCACCTCTATTGTGATACCATACAAGGAAGGAACATCAGAAACCATACGTAGGATTCTCAACAAGGTTGGAATTAGGGTGGCATTTAAACCAACAAACTCACTTAGAGGTAAGCTTTGTCGGCTAAAAGATCCGATAGAACCAATTAAGCAAAATAATATAATCTACCAAATTCCATGTAATGACTGTGAAGTCAAATACATAGGTCAAACTAGCCGGTCGGGGTCAGTTAGATTAACAGAACATAGGAATTTAGCTAAACATAGAACGACAGACCCCAATAAGATCAATAACCTAGAAAAACACTCAGCCATTGCATTACATTCATTAACACACAACCACACAATAGGATGGGACAAAACCACTGTACTTAAGTCTAATATAGCTAGGTGGAGAGAGAGATTAATTACTGAATCTTTGTTCATCGAATCCACACCCAACACATGTAATAGGAATGACGCAACACCTATACCAGAGATATGGAAAACTTTACTACCAATCAAAAAACAAAAAAACAAAGAGAGATCAGGTGACAGGACTATAAAATCAGATGTCGAAAGAAGTGTGATTACATTGATATGATTATGAGCAATAATTTATGCTCGAAACGTAATCAAGTAAATAATACTGTATCACTGTGCGCTTTATATCAAATAAACAAATCTAATATGGAACTACATTCTACCACAGTGCCCAAGTTTTTCACTTATATTAAGGAGACAGATTTAGTTGTAACAACATAGAGGTGAACGGTTTTACGGGTCAAATGATAATGTAAAGGGTAGAAATGGATATTCGAATCAACTATTATCCAAATTCAATTAACCTATCCCCAACCCATTCAATTTTGAATATCCATTTCTACCCTCTGCATTACCATTTTGACCCGTAAAACTGTTCACCTCTATTTTGTTACAACTAAATCTGTCTCCGTTATTTATGTATGTATGTACGTTCTTTTCTATCGTTTAACAGTATATATGATCAAGTATGTAGAGTATCGAGTACTAATGAAATTTATGAATTCATTAAATCCTGCTCTTTTCACATCCGTTACTTGTTTTGAATTCTGTTTAATTAGCAGAGAGACTAAAATGGTAGATATTAACACTACTGTGATACGATTTCGAGCTTTATTACCGGCGCAACACGAGTTCGGACAGGTGATGATAATGGACTACCTAACGCTCAACGAAGATGCCATTTTTAAAAAAATATTATGCAGCTTAAAATTTTATTAGTGCTATCAGTTATTTTAGTTGGTACTGAGAAGGCTTCATATGAAGACCGAACTTTACACCAAGCGACAAACTTCATTCCCAATCAATGACCGTTCAAATCACTCGCCGATGAGTTACAATAGCTTCTTATTTCACTTATGAAGTGAACTGATCACAGGTGTTAAACCTGTCGCATATTTATCTTAGCTATAATATATTTCGCTGTATGCTACAACTCCGTTTTTCGCAGTGTAAACTTCTACAAGTTTCGATTATGTTAACCAAACTACTTTTCTTTCATCCTGTTTCCTTGCACTTTGATGCCGATATGCAGTGCAGTAGCTTGAACCATCAGACAGTAATCCCATAACTCATGTTGATATTGACTGACTGAAATGATCGTAGCTGTCTCTATTAAATCCTGATAGATAGAATTCTCAACTACATCACGATATGTGCACAATGTCAACAAACCGCGAAACATTCGCTAAAAATAACGCCAGTTCCATTGCTACATCCTCATATATGTTCGCGAATACATCTTGATTTGCCGGATGGAGATTGTTAGGTTCTGGTTAGTCCATTGATAAAATGGTTTGAGATCACATCTGACAGCACGCCAATAAAAGACCCACCATTTTTTTTACTGTTACGATATGCCAACAGCAACAACAACAACGGGTCTGTTTATTTAACACTAATTTTAAGAATACTGCTATTATCATACAGTGAGTTTTATCTTCACTCATCCACGATTTAACAACCAAGCTGAACTCTTTTTACATGGATTTAAAAAATTCCTACTAAACACCGGAAGCGAGAGGATAGATACTATATAATAATTTTGTTCAGTATAGAATAAATCTAAATGAGGTCGTAGCCAATCGAAAGACTCCTGTAGAAGCGCCACTGGGGTGAAAAATCAGAACAGCTTACAACGTTTGATTCTAAAATTGCATACAAAAAAAATTGTCAGTAAGCATTAGGAGATCATCTCACTTTGTAATGCCAGTTATTTACTCGCAAATACTGACCAGGGCATAATAGATGGGACAAAAGTCCAACCATGTGCATGTGCGGCAAAATAATGCACGACATATCCATAGAACCAGACATAAACGATATATTAACTAATTGCATCAATGAAGATCATTGATGCAGAGACGAAATCCCTCCGAATACCTCAGGTACGAACAGTGATGAAGTAAATTCAGACATTGCTTCAGTAGGTAACCATCTACTACTTCGAGTATGATCAGACCGGAGACAACAACAAACAACATGCTTCCCAAATGAGTACTAGTACTTTTTTTTAAAGATGTCTGACATCTAAGAGTTATCTGTTTTTCCTCATATTTTTGAAATTTAAATTTCTCTTTCTGTACTCCTTTCTGCCTCGTTTTTAACATATTATTCAATTTGTGCGCTTTAATCGTATTGTGAGTGTATGAACTACTGAGTTGTGCAGATGTTATATACTTTCCGGTTGAAATGCAGTAGTTTAACTATGCAGAGATGCAAGTTGCAATTAATTCATTAATACCACTTGGTGGAATATATTTCAAAGATTACTTCGAGATTTAAGTGGAGTAATACACAAACAAGTATGATTTAATTCCATATTATTAGATATACTTAATTTTATATAGCCGATGCCCATGAGTAACAAATTATCCTCAAAACGTTATTCAGCAAATGATACTTCATCACCGTGTGCTATATCGAATAAACAGATTTAATACGGAATTATAGTCTATTACAGTGTCCAAGATCTAATTTGCAAACATGATATAAAGCGTATGGATTTACCGTGCTATTTCATATCACCAAACTACAAAATTAACCAAACATTGTTTTTGTACGCGAATATACCAAAAGATCTTACCTATTTAGTTTTTCAGGCATATCAGTTAATTCCTGTGAAAAATATGACTCTAGATAATCAGTGTAAACTTCAACCAAGAAACTAAGCGGCGCTAGGCAGTCACTAGTTGTACGATCTGTTGCAATCAAATCTTCAGCAAATCTTCGCATAAGTTCAATCTTAGAAATAATATCTTCTTTATTATTAGAAATAGTTTCACCTGTGGATTTAGATACCGTACAATAAATAGGCTTTTTGTCATGTACAAGAGGAATCAGCAATCCATAAAAATAATTCCACGAACTTTCATTATTCGGTGCAAAGGAGATTTGCTTTTGAACAAAATCTATTTCCTAAAAATTGGATAGTAAAAATAATGTGATGTATTTTAGTATATTTAAATGATCACAGGAATGTTAATCTCCCAACACTACTACAAAATACGGATAGAAAGCAAAATTTAGTTCATAGAAAATGATTACCCAAAAAATTAGAACCAACATACAACTGCTATGAAGGTTATTTACTTATAAATAAATTTATGTATGATAAGATAATTCTGATTCACGAATTACAGCATGTGGCATACTACATGAAACTCGAATGGAACGAGACAGATAGCAGTCAGGAAACAACTGGCGGAGAAGTTCGCTTCGCCAGGTTCAGGATAACTCGCACAAATTTGAAACTGAATTTGAGGATGTTTGATTCTGTTTAGCAATACTTTCATTCTAAAGTTAAGTAAAATGTATGATAGATGTAACATGACGCCTACATGTTCGCATAAATGTGCAACATGCAACATACAAAACCACAGTTTCTTTTCCGAATCAGGTTGAATGTGGATCCTACACATTTGTTAATGGGCATATTCCTCAAACTCTTTACTTGTAAGATGAGTTTTAGACTTACTGTTTGTGCAGAAACCAAATCCAACACATACAGTTCCAGATTATTTGTCACATAGTAGAACTTGATATTAATCACTGCGACAACTCTGAAAGATTGGTAGTTACCTAAACTTGTGCAAACTGCTTTCAAATCATTATACATCTTAAAAAAATCATACGATAAAATTTAAATTTTTTGAGGGTCTTTGACGAATAACAACTTGAAATATTTCCAAATCTCCACAACCCCCTCAAAAATTTAATTGAACTAGTGCTCGAGAAGTATTCCCGAAGTTCCAATGACAAGTCGTGACCGGTGGAGTCAAAGCCTGATGGCCGTGAGGACAAATACTCAACGATGACATTGGGTGGCGGTCTGCGCTATATCGTGAGCTAACAGAAGTTGGAAATATGGAGGATTGGATTGTGACCGAGTGGCTGAATGGTAACGCGCTGGTCGCGGAACCTGAAGGTCGCGGGTTCGATCCCTGCTGGTGGGGTCGTGGGTGCGCACTGCCGAGGAGTCCCATACTAGGACGAAACAGCTGTCCAGTGCTCCCAGGTTTCCTTTGTTCCTCCAACTGATGTCAGTCTTCGACGAATAACAACATGAAATAAAATTTAAGACAGTATGATGTAGCCATAGTTCATTGGTATAGGGTAGTTGACTTTTAAGTAGTGAGTCACGCGTCTTCGCTCTAATCTAACCACGAATGTTTGGACAGTCAGGTAGTATCATCAGTTTTCACACATCAGGTATGGCTCACTGTCTAGTGCGTGAACCTGCAAATGGTCATTGAGTTACATGTTTTAAGACAACATTAAGTCATTGATACAACTAGAATACCAAAATTATTAACTTACGCGCTGAAGAACAGAGGAAGATAGACCTTCATCACGCGTTACAATGTAGTAACGATGATTCCACGCTGAATTATTATGCACATCATCTAACAGCATTTTTTCGGTAAAGGTCAATTCTTGCTCAACAGGTATCTTAAAAAACGTTACAGCCCATCGACGATGCTGCCAAGCATGGTAATTCTTAGGATCATCTGAAATAACATCACCAACAAAATCCAATTCATTTGAACCAAGATGTGTCAGGACATCGGAAGGTGACCCATTGGTACAGTGTGCTGATAATTTCTCCACAACCCACTGTCGATGATGCCACAACTACCACAAGAATAAAACGAGGACTTATCAGCTTTCATGTCATACACATAAGAAGAAGAAGAAATAAGATGTACCTACTCGCTATCTTATATATTTGTTTAAAATTCGTTCAGAAAGAATACAATGCATGTAGCTACTACATTGCATCCGAGTGAGATCCGTTTATAGGGTAAGTAGTTTCGCATTTCAAAGCACAGATACAAAAATCCGAATACACTAGACCTTCTTGGGTCACTGTCGCGCTGAAAATGTACCTTAAGCACACTGCACAGAAAAAAAATCATTCCCAACTATTCTTAAAAAAAAATTTAAAAAGTTTACCTCTGCTGAGCTGTTTTGCATGCTGGTTATCTGTATATTTACTGTTACTATTGTTATTATTTGTCCTTTGGGTTCCTAGTGGAACGTCTCCATTTCACTCTGTCCTCTGAAGTCTTTTCAACCTGATTCCACGACTGACCACAAGCTTTCATTTCTTCCTCACATTATCTCCTCCATGTCACCCTCGCCTCCGACGCCCAACTCACCAATTCCCATGCGGGTCCCACTCGAGGGTCTGGCACCTGATGTCCACCGAATGATTTTCCCAGTGTATGCCCAATCCACTTCCACTTCCTTCTGCATATTTGTTGGGCGATAGGTTCTTCTTTGGTTGGTGTGTTGCCAGCCAGAGTTCGTCGTGGCTTATTCTTTCTGGCCATCTGATCTTCAGTAACGAGCCAGCGTAGGCAGTTGTTGATGAATATCTGTAGTTTGTTGGAAATCCCTTTCGTAACGCACCAAGTCTCTAAGCCTATAGAAGCACTGACTTGACTGACGTTGGTGTTGAAAATCCGCATCTTGTTCCACATGCTGAGTACACTGCAGTAGATCTCCACACTGATTTTAGATTAATGAAAGCCTGTCTTGCTTTTCGGATCCTGGCTTGACATCCTCGTCTGTGCCTCAGCCTGTAGTTGAAACGATGCTGCCTAGGTAGGTGATGCTGCCTGCTTCCTTTAGGTTCTTCCCGTTAATGGTGATTGGTGCTTGTCGTTGATGCCGTTGTTGATGTTTGGGTATCTTCATCACCTCTGTCTCCCCTACGTTCACTTGAAGTCTCGTCTTCGCTTCTTCTTCTGTCAACTTGTTAGTTTTCGCCTGTAGATCTTCGAGTTTGCGCGGCGTTAGACGTAAATCATCGGCGAAATCCAAATCTTCAAGGGTCCTTACACCGCTCCAGCCAGCGTATGCCCATCTCGCTCTTCGCAGTTTGTTGTATGATCCAGTCCAGTCTATTCGACCACAATCAGAAAGATCATCGGTGATGGTGGGCAATCTTGTCTTACTTCTGTCTTTACTTCAAAGGTGTCCCTGAGCTTTCCATTGTGAATTACTTGGCATGTAGCATCATCTCATCATATAGTTGTTAAATGAGGTTGATAAAGGTTTGTGATACTAAAACCATGGTGTTGAAGCAACTGCCAAATTACCTCTAGGTCGACGCTGTCGAAGGCCTTTTCAAAGTCGATGAAGTTGAGGTAAAGAGGTGACTGCCATTCTATACTCTGTTCTATGATGATGCGTAGCATAGCGTTGCAATTTGATTCGCACATGATTTGTACTCCCTGAAGCCAACCAGCCAGCCTGTTCCGATCGTAATTTGGAATCCAGAGCATCTTTTAGTCTCTCCAGGATGATGTGGGATAATATTTTGCTTGCTGTGGGTGGACAGAAGCATGGTTTCGCGCCAGCTCATGTTCTCGCAAAGACTAAGGTCTCCCTTCTTTAGGAGTTTGACAAGGTAGCTCTTCTTCCAATCAATCAGCAGGTACCTTTCCTCCCTTCGTTGTAAGCCTTCTGCAGTAGTGGTGTAAGCATGTCTTTTGGTTGTTCATCTTTGCACTACACTGGTTTGTCTTCAGCTTCACCATATTCCTCTCCCTTCTCTATCAGTTTCCATGTGTCCGTCGAGATCTACTCATTGTTTTGTTTCTTCTTCTTCCTTCCTAATACGGTTATGCAAGTTTCTCTCCACATAGCTTTCAAAGAGTTCCAGTGTTCTTCCACGCAGGTTCCTTCAGGGATGTTGCCTAATGTCTCCCATTTTGTCCTGATGGCTGGGTGACGTGAAGATGTCACTTACAGTTTCGTCCATCAGTTCACTTTCTGTTCTGGGTGTTCAACTTGAACTGTGGTCTATCACCAAATTCTTCTTTGAAGGCTTTCAACTTGGTTTCGAAGGTAGGTTCGTTGCATTAGATAGTGAGTGGTATGAGCCTACATCTGCTCCCCTTCTTGATCTGATCTCGTGTCCAGTAGGCTGCGTCTCCACTTCACATTGAAATGAATTCGATCTGATTTTAGTGTGTAGTGTATCGTGGTGTCTGGTGAAATCAAATCCATGTCGCTTTGTGAATATCCCTGTATTTGTGCACACTGCCTTGCCTCCAATCACCAAATCATTAAAGGCGCAGAGGTTTGCAAACAGTTCTCCATTCTCATTCTTCATTTCACAGAGTGCCTCTCGACGCATGATGAGTTCTCTTCCTGTGTTGTCTGCTACGAGTTTGGCATTCAAGTCGCCCATTAGGAATTTGATATCGCCAACTGGGGTGGAGTCTTGTCCAGTACTGACTGCATTTGTCTGTATAATTCCTCCTTCTTCTCTTGATCTGCATCATTTGTAGGCGCGTAGCATTGTATGATTGCAACTTTCCTTCATTTTGAGTTGAACCTTCCTGTCACGATCCTGATCATTGAGGAGATTGGTTCCCACTGCACGAGAGAGCCTTCGATGCTGTTGGGAGGGGGACATCATGATAGCCAGTCCAAAACACAGTGTGCTCGTGGTTGTCGTGTGGGTGACGATATCGGAGTAGATTATTGACTCTCCAGTTGACAGTTTAGAGAGTCCACTTCCATCCCACCTGCTTTCGCAAATTCCTATCACTCCTATGCCATACCTTCTCATCTCTTTTGCAATCTGAGCAGCCTTGCTAGGTTCGAACATTGTCGGTACATTCCATGTCTCCATTCTTTTGCTTTCATCGAGAGTAGAGAAGACACACTGGCCTCCCGAAGGCTTTCACCAACTGGCGTCATTTAGGCGCTTCGACTCCAGTGAGGAATAAGTTTTATTTTATTTTTTGTATTTTCTTTGTGCTTTGAAGTTTCTTTAGCGATTAGATTGGTTTTACAGGGTAGGGTTGCTAGCCGTATGCCCAACTTTCCTTCTTTATCCGGGCTCAGGACCAACTGGTAGTAACTAGTGAACTAGTTACCTAGGTGAGGTTATTTATTGCTACTAGTGAAAGTAAACCTTAGTTTCAACCTAACCAAGTTCAAACAGGTCCAAATAACGAATAACAACTCACAATCATTTAGACAGTACTTAAAAAACCGTCAGCTACGGACACTGAATGTTTGTGACATGAATCTTTTTCATTCGCGCACAGCTCTGAAACGTAACTGGATGCCTAATTCCAAAAGCTCGATATGAATTAAAGAAAACACTAAACTAGGTGTTGCATAACAATGACAAACGGCAACAAATCTATCATCTCTATCGGGATTCTCAAAGAAAGTATTGGACATTAAGAGTATACGCCAGCATACTGGATACACAAGCTTATTTGACTGCATGACACTTTTTATTATGGCAGAATAGTTAGTTTGAGCTCGAATGAAATACTCACTTTTGATTTATGCCTCTCTTCTAATAACTCCATATTTGAGGACAGTAATTCTTTCTACCAGTCACATTACCACACAAACAACACAACTTTTACGACTCATTTGAACAACCCTATTGTTTTCATACGTTTCATTGTCAGTTTTTAAACATTTGAGTAACTCATAGGTTTCTGAATCCATACTTTTATATGGGTAGGGGTGCATTTTTGTGACTTGGTGACTAAAAATAAGAATGCTTTTGAAGGTTTAGGCAGCTAGTTAGTATCATCAGGTTCCCATAATCTAGATATGACTCTTTTTTTTATTTACGAATATCCATATGGTTGCTAATTTATACTCTTTATATCTATCCCAAATCTATCCGTGGAATAGCAGGAGGGGAGTTTCGGTTTTACGAAAAACTGAACCCATTTTCGGTGGTTGGATGTCGACTAATTCACAACAAATGCAAAAAATTAATTTTTGAAAACTTCGATTAGGGAAAGATGGTTGTCGATCCAATAGAGCTATGCGTCGAATTTGGATATTTCCATCCTCATGGGTGACAAACTTAGTCATTACAAAGAGAGACCACAAACCTTGCACATACCGAATTCTAATCTACAAAGAATTGGACAACATCAAAAAGGGTCGATAAGCTGATAACTTTTAGGTTACAGGATAGACGAAGATTGACAACATAGGTCACAAGACGACGTAGCGAACCAAAACTTGTTGGTTTGGGGGAATGAAATTGAAGTCACAAAAGTAATTATACGAAATCTGTACTCAGTAGTTGTGTACGTACTTAGAAGTTGAAAACTTGGACACAACTTCTCCCATGAAGTATTTGCATCAACAATAGAATTTTCCTGCAGATACTTCATTCAGGTGATCACCAATGCCTTTTTGTCTTACAGCTTTCTGTAACTTCTGGTCGTATTATTATCTCCTTGTCTTTCTCCTTATTTACTTGTGCTTTGCTGTGCTGCTGTGAGATGCGGCAACTTATACCGTTACGTAGGGGTGACAGGTTTCAGTTTAACTTGACAATGATTACGAATGCCTTGTTGCAAAGAATCATTTTACATGAATTTAGTTGTTATATCCATAAAAAGTTTGAGCAATATGAAATGAAGCAAATTATCATAAATATTTTTGTAATGAATATTTCCTACGTTTTTAGTTTTGGTAATATCACGAGCAGAACTACTGCCTGTGATCACGCCCACCAATGAAATTTTTATTACAATATATATGTATATTCGATACTAACTTGATAGTTTTTCGAATGTTCCTCAATAAGACCGCCAACTAAACGCAATTCAGCTACTAGATCTGGCGAAATTTCTTCAATGATTCGTCTTCTATACTCCCAAGCTGTGTAGTTAGCTGGATTTAACGATAAAATCTCAGATGTTAGAGAAAATGTTCGTTCACTGCGCTCGTTTTTCATTAGCGCTGCACGAAAATAATCATGTGCATCAACAAACTCTTCTGAATACGCAATATTTACAATGTACCGACCACCATCATCCTGAGGGATTGGAGTAACGTCATTCCATTCTTGCCTTTCCCTATAAAATACATACTTCTCGCGAGTACCCATGATCACCAAAAATTATGACGAAACCAGACAGGATAGTCAGTTCAGATTGAAAGCTTCATTGACAAAAGAGCGGATAAAATATGACAATCAAAATCGATAAACAAGATGTGTGCAGTCCAGCGAAAAATAAATGGAACTGCAAATACAGCCTAGGGCAGAGTTAACAATTTATTAAAGAACCTACCAAAAATACGGTGATAACGAGGTACAGAATATAAACTCTCAATTAGCTTGACACTGTCAACGTGTTTTCTTTACAGAGTAAAACATGTACTCGTTACCACACGTTAAAATGGTAACTCAAAAACCCGGATAATCCTGTTCATAAATGCATAACAAAACGAAGAGCAATCAATAGTTATCCTGATAAATTACCAACCAGTCAGTTCAAGATAATGATGTGAATCGTTAACAAAATTTGATATCGAACACACGGAAATCATCTCGTGAAATCCTTGTTCATTTAAGCTATACAAAACGATCTTCAATGAATCTCGTGAAACTGGAGAATTTACAAGTCAAGTCTGCAATAACAATTCAATAATTACAAAAACTGAACAAAACAGGAACAAAAGCGTTTCCAGAATAAAATACGCACATTTCATTTCACGGCATCTCATCAGCGCCAAGCAGTTTAATATCGCAAAATTTGTCATAACCAGTAAATTAATATGTAATATACTTTACACTGTTTCAGATGAAGGCCAAGTTCAAAATTCATAGTACACCAACAGATAGAGAAAATACAGAGACAAGACAATTGTAAAGTAATCAAAATCAGTGATTATACACACATATTACAAAAAAAGGTGCTGCAGTCACGAAGGAGGTAGGCAACAAACAAAAACACAGGAAAACTAAGAATCGACTTAAATCAGTGAAGGAAGGTGACGAAAACTACAAATAAAATAAAATGGCGATTACGCAACAAAGCATGATCGTCAAGGTAAGGAGAGGTTATTCACACTGTCTTTTCACACACATAGACCAGGCCTTCATCGTTTAATTGCAATAGCCTCTCTAACACTAAGTAAACTAGTTGCTCTTTATATGCTGATGACCTTGAAAATGTAATCAGCCTCAACTCTATATTCTGTGAACACTACGTATCTGGTTACCGCCTTTGTACACACTTCCTTTCCTTTGACACGAACGTATTTAGGGACATGAAGTTGAAACCAACTAGCTCTCGTCCCAACAGTTCTATGTACTTCCACCAGCAAGTGCGTGTAGATATGTAAGTGCTGTTGAAGGCGAAAGGAACAACGCACTTATCAACTTCGAATTGATTTAATAAACGGTCTTTAATTCCCTCCAGCTCTCGATAACGATATGAGTGCTCACACAACGGTACCCTTAGTCTCTATGAAACACTGCTCCAAACTACACATTGGTTAGACATATTCAGACGGAAAGACGGATGGGAATTTCAGAACCTCAGCGTAATGAATGGATAAGGGCAATCGCCTATTACAACTGTGCTCAGAAAATCAGCTATTTTCAGTCAACACGAACTTCAAACGTAAAGAGAGATATTGTCTAACGTGGCGTCCGCGGTATTCATCTCAGCGGTGGCAACAGACAAACCATATTGCCATCAGTCATGGCTGGGGACGCCCGGCGGAGGACTGCTATTCCTGCTGGAGCACGTGTTTAGAAAACGATCACGCGTTGGTTCGAGCGCATGTATATGCACATCTAAATGGACCTGGGCAAACTTTAGAAAACAAGACCATCGCAACTGCAGCTCGACAACGAGAGCATTGGGGCTGCTTACAGGGAAGAACTGGCTAGACAGTTATTGAGACAGAACAATATCATTCATCCAGAAGAAGCTTGGTGCCACTTCCAGTCTGTTGTAAAACAGCGTCAAAGACTGTAAGCCGACTATCAGACAATGGTTAAAAGAGCCAGTAGATTTCAGCAGCTTCTTCTGAGTTAATGCATGCACATAAATGGATTCGTGCGGGCTCCGAGTAGAATGAGGAGCGAATGCAACTCAGACGTAGACTGACAGAAAGTCTATGCAATGACCACTAACAGTGGCGGGTAGTGAAGGCTAAAGAGATGAAAAAGCAGTGGCGATACGCAACAATAGTTATTTAGACTTATTGAAGAAACTGGAGTGGAAAGTTCAGTGGTCGGAGAAGGATGGGTCTGTGATTTACTCACACGTGAGACGACTGGAAAGATATGCGGAACATTTCGGAGAAATAGTTCGACTGGCCTCCAGCTACAATTCCGTTGCCATCTCTACCACTCCGCATCTTCAGAGGGGCATTGAGGTAGGACTCCCAACAATTGCAGAAGTCGACAAAGCTGTAGGTAACCTGAAACGATGAAGAGCAGCAGGGCCAGACGGACTAGTTCCAGAGCTATTTAAATACGGTGATCGAGGTTTATTGGTCAAACTGATTGAAGTGTTAACCAGTGTGTGGTAGCCAGATATACTCCCCCACTGACTCATCCCGGTCACGGATTATCCTAGACTTCAAAAAGAGTGAGAAGTCCTCTTGTGATAACTACAAAAGAATCAGTCTGACGGAAATAGTGTCTAGGATTCTAGATTATATAGACAATGAACTCACTCGATTGAGGGGTTTTGCAGTAGTTTCTCACTGAAAGGAGTGCCGAGTAGGTACACCACTCTGTTAAAGACTCTATACTCGAAAGCCCGTGGAGTTGTTAGAGCCTATGGTGAGTTGTCAGGTGAGCTATGTCCATCAAGTAGTGTTCGTCAACGATGCCTACTCTCTCCATTCCTGTTCGCTTTTGCCATAGATGTTGTTGTAGAAGTCTCCCTCTCGTTACCTCACTTTACAGGGATTGATCTCCTGGTAGATCTGGAGTACGCAGATCAAATGGTCCTGTTACGTGAAGACGCTGACAAGATGTAAAGTCTTCCACATACATTAAGTGGCAATTTGAAAATGTTTGAGATGCGTTTCTCGCCACTCAAATGCAAATCGTTGCTCCAGGATTGGTCTTCAGAGGTGCCTCGGCTAACAATAAAGAGCGAGGTGATTGAGTGCATTGACCACTTACTTCACTTACCTGGAAAGACGGGTCAGCCTTGGTGAATGATCAGTGGTCGACGAAATCTCTACACGGATACAAAGGCTCGATTGGCATTCGCCAACTTACGCTATAATATGCTGTCCCACTGCGATATCTGGTTGCCTATTAAGGGTCGAGTGTACTGCTCTGCAGTTCGCTCTGGTCTACCGTATGGACGTGAAACATGGCCATTTGGGGTAGACGACACGAGAAGGCTTCAGGTGTTTCACCATCGTCGCCTTCGTAGCACATTGTGTATCGTGATGTCATCACATCAGTAACGCACAAGTCAGGTGTAGAGTTTTACAGAGGAGAGGAAAGCCAGTTGATACGGTTGTGAATCTCCGTCGACTGAGACTGCGTATAGACACGTGTAACGCATATCTAGTCACCATCTACCTACCTCACCAACAATGTTAGCTGAAGCAGGTCCAGGCTGGAAAAAGGCTCAGAGTGGCCACACTAAAACATGGCATCACTGCATGGAGTTCTCGACTTTCGGTCTGAGCCATGTGTGGATATGCAGACTAGCCGGTCGGGGTACACGTGACAACACAAATCAATGGTTGGAGATTCTGCTTAATATGGTTCGGAATCGGTGTCAGTGGAGCAGATACGTCAACACATTATCTTTATCTTAACCGTTATGCTGAATTCAGCGTGTTCTCATTCCTCCTTCTTCTCTTCCCCTGCTTTTGTTGGATTTTCCTTTCTTTCCTCATCTTTCATCTCGCTACTTTGTTGCTTGATGTTGTAATGTAAGGTGTTGCAAATCGGACCGTTTTGCACAAATACTTAGTCCTATGGCGATATGGAAGTAAAACTGTAAATGAAGTTGAAGATGAAATGAAGAGAGTACCTATATAGTTTGGATTGGTTCAATGTCCGGCTCGTGATGTAAATCGAGATCAGGGTAGGTGTAGAGGGGGTCCACTTTAATGCTTCTTTTATCCATTTCTCTATTCGCGATGGCACTTCTGAATCCAAGCTGAATGAAAACCAGTTTCTTTTAAACAGTTCCAGGTCCAGATTTCGTTCACTCCATTTCTCCGTTTTATATGGCAAACTTTGTCAGGTATCCATGTCACGTATTGTTTTGAATTATCGTAAATTCGCTCTCATGATTGTCTTCTGAAACTAACGCTCTCGCTCTACTCAGAAGTGTTTTGACTAGCTTCTGGTTGTAAATGGTAGGACAAAAGCCATGATAGTTTAAGTACTGAGACATTTGTGTTTCTTTTCTGCAGATAGTTTATTCAATTGTGTTATCGCCTTTTCGTTTCATACAGAGGTCTAGAAAGTTAAAACGTTTATCATGCTTGTATTCCATGGTAAACATGATGTCAGCATGAGCTAGGTAGAATTTTTCAAACAACGAACGCGTTATCAACATACCTGCTGTAATATGTAGTCCTCTCAATCTCTAATTTCAGTCACGTTTGTTCTAGGTAAGTTATGAAGACATCGGTGAAGATAGGACGTAATGATGAGACCATGGCCACTCCATGAAGATGTCTAAATCTTATGATAGTACACTAAGAAATTCATCGGTAACAGAGGAACCACATATCTTCCCAGGATCTCCGGAGAAATGTATGTGCAATCTTTCAAATATGAAGTTGAACAAGGTCAAAATAAAAGCAACATCCAGTAGGTGTTCGTTAAAAAAATTGATAAAGAAACACAGTTTAAGTAAATATATCATCAACTTTCTAATTTTGAATCTCTAAATGAGGACAAAAATTGGTCCAAAACCAAATTGGTTGATATTGTTAAACAGTACTCCACACTCCAAGCTCATTACTAAAGACCAATATATTAGTAGTGAAACACTTACAGAAAAGAAATCAGATAAAGGCTCCAGTGTTGTTAACATAAACTGAGATGACTAATTTGATGCGATGTCAATGATACACTGAGATCCCAGGTTAAGAGGTCTTAAAACGATACAATAACAGCAGTTGACAGCAGGGTGATCAGAAGAAGAAGAAGAGTTAATTGACTGTTTAACCTATAATGATCTAAAGGAAAGAGAATCATACGAGCTTATCATGTATGGTCCACCTGAATTTTATAAGCTGTGTGTGCCGCTGAGACCTAAAATGCCAATGGTAAATTTGCAATGTCACGTGATCTTCATGCATTGAGTACACAAACAATAATTACGCAGTCGTTGAGTGCCATAGGTATACAGATTAGAATTCATTTCGGCTGATAGAGTAGTAGCATGACAGCTACAGGCTTTGATTCGAAGTGATATCACGACCAACTGAGATTTAACACGATTTTCATTCCATTTAGGAAGTCACAAAAGGCCAATACATGTTAATCAACCCAACTGCCCACAAGCTATCTGCACCTTTTAATCAGCTTAACACCTACCATAAAGTGAAAGGCGCGAAAGCCGTTGAGACATGCTAGATATGGGTTCATACCACTGGAGTAATTTCTCCATACAACTGTACTTACTAAATGCTAAAACAAACTTTTTCAGATCTTGAAAAACCTTTACCATCCATCTAAATCAACATAGGACCATGCATTACTGCGTAACGGTCCGAGTTGCCATAGCTCATATCAGTATATCAAGTAAAAAGGCAGTGAAGTGCAAGATAAAGAAAACTCGGTCAAAAAGAACATAAAGTACTAAAACAGAAAGGAAGAATGAGAAAATGGTGAGATTCGAAAATCACGCAGATATGTCCAGCTTTATGTGGCCAACTTAGAATTACTCACACCCTACAGTTATACATGAGTCCTTCTGATTTCCAAAATACAATCGAAAATCTCATCCAACAAACCTTTATATAAACTATTAAAAAAATCGGCCGAACGAGATTCTCGGTTGCTTACAGTAGTGTATCACTAAGGGTAAATGCAAAAATACGCTCCTATTAGTGTTGTCAAGGTACTCAGCTGTTCTGTGGTCTTAGGAATAAACCCAACTTACGAATAATGACTACCAAATGATTAAATACTGTTTGATTCATGAGAATGTCATTGTGAAATGAAAACATCGCATCCGTTGGTAATAGGCAATGAAGCGGTTGAGCGAATTCACCTACGCTGATTTGTCCACATCTAGTCCTCTCCATCAAAAACGCCTACCATTCACTTTTATCTAACTTTTTATGACGCACTTACACAGGTATCCCTCTATTTATCCGAATTTACAAGTATTGACCTCGTCACCAAAAACTCCGTGTTAAATATAAACAACATTAACTGAATACACTGACAAGACGCACAATATATCCAACAACATAAGAGTAAATAGGATGCATTTCAAACCATACCACTGCAAACCATGACTTCAGAACTGCCCTGTCTCGATATCTTTCATCTCACAATAGGGAGTGAAGTGGTCAACACCATCACCTACTTGACTTGCTTGTCAAGACAGATCAGATGAATCAGTCTGAAACGAAATTTTGACACGCATACGAAAGGTCCCACTAGCCTTCACCAACTTATGCCATCTACGGCATTGGAGAGATATCTGATTACCTATTAATGGTTGAGTGTACTGAACAGCAGTTTTCTCCGTCATATAGAACCTGACTTTAATAGGTGTAGAAGACGCGAGAAGGCTTCAAGCATTCAAACATACTTGCCTTTATAGCATGGGCCATGCACCATGGAACCACCACGACAGTTACATAATCTTAGGCAAAAGAAGTAAGTCACATGATGACGTTGTAGACCTTCACCTATCCAGGTAACATGGATATATCCAGCTGAAGCAAGTTTATACTACAAGAAACATCGAAGCAAGAAAGCACACTAAAACGCGGCAATAAACCTTGAATATGATAACTAATGGTTCGAGTCACGCAGGTATATGTAAGCTTCTCGGATGCCGTTGGTGTGATAACCAGTTCATTTGTTTGGAACACTAGGTGATAGATATGGCCCGGAATCCCTCACACTGGCACACCTATCCACACACTGTCTTCATCCTAATCACCATATCACGACTTTTTAATTGCGTTGTGCGCTTTTTTCATGAATCTATGACTTTTGATAATAGGCTTCTCCTACTTTGCAAACATCTTTCTGCCGTTCATCTGAATGTTGTGTGACGACTTAGATCGCTAGATGGTATTACCAGGTTTTTTGTTCATTTTGGCCGACTAATAGAGATCTGACTTCTCCATCGTACCTCACCGAAATATACTAGCTAGGACGATTGTTCCTTGGCGTCTTATCACAGCTTTGTTTAAGTGGGTAGTAGTAAATCTCAAACAAGCTGTCGTAATATGGTAAGTGATAAGTGCTGTTTGGAGGTTTGAAAGTGATGTCTTACGATAATCAGCCTTATAAATGTGCTGCGACAGATGGGTTAAAAAAGTTCGATCTCAAGAGTATGTATTTTGTCTCCTTCTACAGCTCTCCACTGTACATAGCAAATTTCTTCAAGCAAGGATGTAATTCTACAAATATCAACATTACCCAAAAAGATGTATCAGGTGTGAAGCTGACAGCTCTGCGGACTCCGTGGCCGGGCTAAAATAGTTTACTTCTACGCTTACCAAAAAAAGCATCAACTCCAATGTTATAGTCAGTTAGGAAATAGTCGGCGACTGCTCGACCCCAACCAAAGCTACTCATGAAAACTTGAAATTCCAAAACAAAAGTACTGAGGTTTATTATTCACGTGGTATTGTGAGTAAGAATTGTAACCAAAATAATAACAACTTCAACTGTGGAGCTTCCAAGGGGGTAACTCATCACAAGGAAAAATCAAGTGGCTAAGCAATCGAAAAATAATGTACACTCTAAATTGGGAGCTCGCTGCTCAACCTAGCGAATTAGCCAAATGACTGAAACTAGTCTGTACACAAGGTCGATCTAAGCGATGAGGACAACCAATCGGAACGAAGGATTTGATAGGCCTAAGTGAGTAAGACTCATTACAGATACACAAAAATTGTCACTAGAAAAGTGAGGTGGGTGATAGTGGGGTTACATTACAAATACTTCTTGGACACGAAGATCGACGCAAAGATAAACAGGCATAATATATTCACCACTTTGGGAATAAATCAATTTCATCGATATAATCAGTGGGGAAATAACCGCCTACAACTGCAGAAGTGTATAGTAACAGTTTCGGTGGGGTTTTGAATGCTGGTACTGTTACTCAGGTCCCCTAGTGAAATCTGTTCAAATCATAGAGACAGTCCTTAGACCGCTTAGAAAACTAAAACCTGAAAACACCAGGCCGAAACGGATTACATCGTACGATGTTTATCGTTGACTAGTACCACCCATACACTCAACTGCAATATTCAGCATGCCCTTGTCTCAGGAAGTCCTCTGGAGACTGGAAGGCTTCTGTGGTTAGTCGTCTTTAACGGATGTAATAGTAAACTACTGACTAGTATCATGGTAAAAGTAATGGAGGTATTACGAGAAAAAATATCAAAGCATTTAGAAGCACACTATCTACTGACACACGACCGATATGGCTTCCGGAAGTTCACCTGTTCAAAAAAGTTACCTCTGATGAGGAAGGGCTAGTTTAAGGCTATGGACAATAAACTTTCTGTGAAAGTGCTGTTTACTGACTTCGGTAAGGATTTTGTTACTATGTTACATACGGTTAATGAAGAAACTTGAAAACAATAGAGTTAAAGTCTGGATTGGGGAATCTTTACACGACAGTAAGAGTAAATGGAACAATATCTCAGTGGTGATCATCATCATCATCATTATCAACATAGGACCAGGCATTACTGCGTAACGGTCCGAGTTGCCACACCTCATATCAGCACATCAAGTAAAAAGGTAGTGAGGTGAAGGATGAAGATAAGTGAATGCAGTCAAAAGAAATATAAAGTACAAGAAAGGAAAGAGAAGTGACAAAATAGTGAGATTCGGTATAGCGTTGTTAAGATGAGGATAATGTGTGTATACATCTGCACCACTGACTTCGGTTCTGAGCCATATCACCTAGGGTCTCCAACCACTGGTTCCTCTTGTCCCGTGGACCCCAACCACCTAGTCTGCATCGTCCTACATGGCTTAAACCAACAGTCAGAGACTTCATACATTGGTGCCATGTTTTAGTCTGGCCACCTCGGGCCTTTTTCCAGCCTCGACCCACCTCAGCCAACATTGTGTGACGAGGCAATCGGTGACTAGGCATACGTAGTACGTGTCCCAACCATCTCAGTGGTGAACTGTCATTAATAGTGTTCTGCAGGACACTTTCCTCGAACCACTACGCTGGTCTCCATATTTCAATGCCTCGGCCGATAGTTGTTGACTTGAGGACCGGGCTTGCATATTATAGCGACCCAACTAGCTAAACTCGCTGAAACGCTTGTTGCTTGATGTCCTAACATGCCAGGAAAGTCTATTAGATAGTGGTACAACGAAAAGCAGTAACCGTCGTAGTGTAAACTGCTACACTATGACAGGGGTCCGAGGGCCAAGTTCTTATGCTGGCTTAGTGAAGTGCGACGGCGGTAAGGTATTCCCTTGGCTGATCAGCAGTGACACGCTGATGCCGCCTTTAGTGTCCCAACTCTAACCCAAATCGGATAGTAAGCATCGGTGGCCAAAACTCTGGAATCTTCAGCCATGGATGTATGCTATCTCTGAAACGCGTAAACAGGACCCAAGTGAGGTTATTAGATTGACCTCACCTGGTCATTGTAGTGTATCTTCGAAATTCATCTCACGAGTACCTGGAAACCTAATGACTTGCTCTCGTATACTGGCTGGTGTAGACACAGCATTGAGTTGTAGAGTAGAAAGTAAGTGCACTTCTAGACTGGACACCAGTCAACAGCCGTTTATGTACTGTTCCACTGAATGGATCTGTAAGAACTACGAAGTTGTGAGACTAGGCATTGCCCATTCATAATCTTCACTAGGGTCTTCATAATCTTCCACTGACTGCAGTTCAGATGATGCAAAGGATGAATATTAGCAGCTGTCAATGTTGCTGCAGAAAGCAAAACGTGCAGATGTAATCATAACGGCAGGTGACTTTAACGCTCAAGTAGGGACACTGAGTTGTTTAGGAAGTTGACTTTCAGCCAATAGGTCACGTGTCCGAACACCGCTCCATCTACCGAGGTTTGACCAGCCAGGTAGTACCATTAGCCTTCATACAATGTGTGACTCACTACCTACTGTACGAGAGTGGACAAGGTTGCTGAGTGAATTTCGAGTCAAAATGCATCTTGTACGGATCTACGGAATGTCATGCCAACGAACAGACAACGATGATTGTTTGAGACACTTTGTCAAATGGCGTCCATTAACTTCAAACCAACCATGGAAACAGATCACATGGCTATAAGTCATGGTTAGAGAGGATCAGTGGATGACCGTTGCTCTTTCTGGAATACCAGTTTGGACCCTAGTCATGCATTACTACAGGCTACAATGTGTCTGCTACTTACTGCCTCAGGAAACAAGCGATATTAAATCCTCCCTATGCTCAATTTGAAGATGAGATCGACTAGTACGTACTTAGGGAGTAGTTAGGCATCTATCTGAACATGACACGAATGCTCATCATGAGGAAATCTGACGTGATTTTAAGTT